CATATGTTAACAAATTAACCTACACTCTGGAGAGTCAGGAGCACGCAAGACATATTCAATTTCCATTCTACTTTTTGAGTTACAAGGCTGGCAAACCTTAAATGACATCAACCTCCAAAAGCCGGCCTTGGTGCCACCCTTCCACCTTTACAGGTAGGTTCCCACAACATAGGACCTCAGGGGGAAGAACCCAAACCAAAGAAACAAAACAAAAAACACCCTCACACCAGATTCCAGCCAGGTCCCGGCTCTCCTCCTTTCTCTTTTCAAAGTAAAACAAACAATGTCTTCTGATAAGACTGTTGTGCTCTTGGAATATTTTGAGCTCTGCTGGAGAAGGACATGAGAGGGTCTTGACCGGGCCAAAGAGACATTCTTGGGGAGCTATATACATCATACGCATTTTCCCAGGTGCAGTCAGATTCAAAGGGTTGTGACCCCCAAAAGCTTAACACCCTCGAGAACAAACCTGTGCTATTCGATGTACGCAATCAAGATCTAAGTTTGTTCTATAGCTACTGAAACTCTATATGAACTAGCTCACTTCAGACAGGACCATACAGACACAGATATTACTCAGGGGTCTTTCATTAGTCAGGACTACACAAAATGAACAACTGTCCTAAACATTTAGTTTAATGAGAAGGCAGCCAGTAGAAATTGGGATTTGGAGCAATGAAGAGCAAAGGAGTGGATGTGGGTGAATAAACACAGTTTTTTTCTCAGCTGCTTGTGCTGAATCAGTAACTATCAGCAAACCAGAAAAGCAAACCCATTTGTCTCTGGCTGACTTCTGTGACGCTCAGTTCTGGAACAGTGACAGCCAGGTCCACAGCAATTACAGTGCCCCGCCCCCCACTATTCCACATCCCGAGTTTTCCTACTTTCAACCCAGTAAACTAAAGTTATTAATTGGCCTTAATGAGGTAATACATGGTTTTTCTTGTTCAAGAGAATAGAACTGGCCTATTTAACAAGTGTGTGTGTCAGGGGGTGGCACCGAGGGAAGAGAGAAAATGGAAGTGGGGGGGCATTACTTCATGAAGAATAAGGAGGAAAAACGGTCATTTATTGTTATTTCAACTTAAACAACTTTCTTATCTTGTAAAAGCAACTGCAATTTGAATACCATTTGAGTTTTTCTTTTTTTGGGGGGGGGGTTGAGACAGAGTTTCTCTACGTAGCCCTGGTTGTCCTGGAACTTGCTCTGTAGACCAGGCTGGCCTCCAACTCCAAGAGATCCACCTGCCTCTACCTCCTGAGTGCTCGGATTAAAACTGTGTACCACCACACCTGGCTCCATCTGAGTTTTTCTGACGCTCCACCATGCTGTTTAAATGGATAGGAAGAAAGCAGAAGCCAATAGCTGAGTACGGAGCAGATAAGAACAAAGAATGTGTGTTGAATTGACCCTGAATGGAAACCGCTCATTTGACAACACAGCAGAGCCAATGCCTGTCACATGGCATTCTCCCAGTAATGACGGTTAGTGAGTGACTGACCAACATGAAAACACGCTCTTAAATACTTCAAGCATATTCTGAAATAATATATAATTTAAAACAACTGCAAACCAAAACAAACAACACATCATTGTAAGATATAAAGTAAAATCAGGCTTCTAAAAGACATTCAAAAGCCTGAAAGAAAATCTAATTAGAAGACTAGCAAATTTAAAATGGTCATCTCATTATCTCATTACCAGAATATATGAGAATATATAACATCCTTGAAGGTCCCTCCAAACAAAAACCTTAAATGAGAAACATTTACATGCTAAAATATTTACATCTTCTCAGATACCAAATCTATACTGTAAAATCAGAGAAGTCTGAACTAGAAGTATAGCATCAAATTAAAAACTAAAACAAAGCCAATTCATCAGTCTTTTGGGAATCCATTGCTAAATTCCCAGGCTAATTTGTTCAGTAAGAACAGGCAGTAAGCACGGTTACTCTAAAACACTAACGTGCATTAGATAGCACAACAATTTCATATGAACACTGGTGCTGTAACATGGGAACCACAGTCTTACTTAAGGAAGAACCTACAGGAGGCCCTAAGCTTAGATCCCACCTCATCCTGGGGGTTGGAGAACTCTAGGACATCCATTACTTACTTGCTTGTTGACTTGCTATAGTCAGCAGGAAAAGTCAAGGCCAAGAGAGAACCAGGAATTCTATATAGATACTAAGACACACTTCAGCAGTCCAATTTACTCTTATGCTGAGCATAATCTTCTATTGAATGATTTCAACTTTTGGGAAGAAGAAACTAAACAATTTTGGGGAATAAAGGAATAGCAACTATTCTTCCAGGTGGTGAACTACTTTGCTGAAGAAAGTACTAGGAAAAGAGGGGGCAGGCAATGCATTTTTCTTTATTTATATGAATGATCCACTTATAATACATACACTGGATTCTAAATTCTGCCCAAATGTGAACTCCCTGAGAACAAGGACCTACTTCATCTCTTTACAGTCCCCAGGGACTTAACCTAGAACAGTATTTTGGTAACACTGAACACTTTGTGGGAAAGCAGAGCTTAGCTGATTTAATGTGTTCAAACACACAGTCTTTGTAAGCAGTATTGTAATTCAAACTATTTGTGTCACATAACTCTTTAATTTAAAAAAAATTCAGAGAGGGTATCACTTTGTGGACAGTTTAGTCTCAAACCCATGCTCCTCCTGCTTCAGCCTCCCCAGTGCTAAGATCACAGGCAGAGCCTTCACACCTGGCTTTCCCACCCCGAGTTCCTAATACTATGTGGTATCAAAAGAACAGCTGCTTCGTGATCTAGAGTCAAATAAATGCACAATAACTGAAGATGTTTGACAAGTGTTCTGAAGCCAAGCAAGTGATCACTTTGGTTTTCATAAAGTTTATGCTGGCCATGAGATGCTTTTGCTATCAGTGGAAGGACACGCTACAAGAAAGTGAAAATCAGATGAGACAGAGTCTCACTGTGTAGTCCTAGAACTCTGAAGATCACACTGGCCTTGAACTCAGACACACCTGCCAAGACTCTGGAGTGCTGGAATTAGAGGCGTGCACCACTGTGCCTGGCTTATTTTACTCTTATGATCACTTGTTAAAATAGTAAGAGATATGAAAAGCATTTTTATGGGAGGGGTTGAGACAGGGCTTCTCTGGGTAGCCCTGTCCTGGATCTTGCTCTATAGCCCAGGTTGGCACTGAACTCAAGAGATTCACCTGCCTCTGCCTCCCCAGTGCTGGGATTAAAGGTGTACACTGGCTTACTCAAAACTTTTTAATGTAAGTTAGCAAAAGACTGCTATGCAAAACTGAAATTTTCACGGACATAAAAGTATACTCTGCATATTATATTACCATCACACAAGAACTTTTCCTCTCCAAATAAAAAAAAACAAAACAAAACCCACACATCCAAATATCTTGAGGCATTTGTCCTGAGATGTTAATTAGCAGGAAAGGGGACGGAGAACAAGAACGAAGTGTACCATGTAGGCATGAACATCCCCCTTCAAAAAAGTGTTGCTGGCTTCCACCATGGCCATTTTCCCAGGAAGTCGGCACGATCTCTTTTACAAGGCACACCTCCCTCCTGTAGTTCCATAATGCAAAATGACACCCAGTGTGGCGCTGACTCGTGAAAATATCTAGTCTCCTTAGATCACAGTATTTTCTTACTTCAGTCTTCAGAATTAACGATTTCAACAGAAGAGCATTTGAATTTTCCTTTCTGTTGAGACAATCTCAAATCAGGTTTACCTAACTAAGCTGCTGTCGTTTGAAATCTAGCTTTCCACCATGGTAGTTTCAATTTCAAAAGCCGACCACAAGCAAACCCCGGCTGGAGGTTCTGAAAATTCTAAAACTAAAGGTTTTCATGTTACTTCTAAAAACGAAGGACCCAGGTCATCCGTCAGGATCTCAGCTTCCGCTGTCAGCCTAGCACCCAGGCTGTGCAGGAGCACTGGAATGCACAGGCCCATCTCTGTAAGCCACAGCTTCGAACATTACCATACTTCCAACTCTCCCACAGATTTAGACATTAAGCATTTATTAAGTTTGGAATTGGTTCTGTAATTGCAGCTGTTATGAATTTCTAAATATCAAGAGTATTTCAGCTTTTCTTCATTCATGCTGGACTAAGATATAAATTAAATACAATGAAGGTACATCAGCTCACGAGAGGGATAACGAAGAGTCCGCTGGTACTGTAGCTACGGAAGTCTGCAACACTTCTCAGTGCTCTCCTATTCCCTTAACGTTACAGTGGTTTTAAGGCTGTATATACAAACATGTCTATTTCCAAGTTTGGGGAAAACACACAGAACAAAATGTATTACACTAACTTTTGTACACAAAGTTATGACTTTGTATCTAACGTATCTGAATCTGTTCCTAGTGGGGACTCAGTCACATGTTGGTAAATGCAGCACTCAACCTACAGAGACGAAAACACAGACGGGTACAGAACAGTAGTCTTTATAATGTGACAGACCAGAAAACTTACTCTTACATGCTTAATCGGAGGGGGTTAAGCCTAAATTAAATTAGGTATTTTATATCTACAATTCCTTAAGCTTTGAAATTTATTTTTAAAGGCCAACAGCTAAATATTATCAACATGCTATATTTCAAATCACAAATACATCTTAACCTCTTAGATTCTAAAGACGTGGGTCAATTAAAAGTTAGACAAACACACATTCAACACACACACATCTATCATAGTGTTAAGATTGTCAAACTTGGACAATTCTTTTCATTAACAGTAGGTAAACCCAAGCTGATGCACATCTTACTGACAAGCAAGCAGCCTGGAAGAAACTCATTTTAAAAACAGGTTAGGACAACACAGACTTTGAGTTCTCGATCCATCTGTACCTGGGGTAACACCACCATCCAATTTAAGGAGACTAACACCTTTCCCTAGGAGGCATGTCCCATTTACAATACCATGGGGTTCTGAAAGCCGGGGCAAGAGGAACTACGCGTACATGATTAAATTTCTTGTTTGTTAAACCAAGCTTTATTGATAAAATGGAATTCAGAATATCTTACTAGGAACAGCAGCAGGCCCAGCCAATCATGATAGGAAAAAAAATGTGGCAGTCTCCTACTGTGTAGGAAGCTGCTGCTTACCAATTAGTAACTGAATGTAGGACTCATAAAGAGGTGCAAAGAATCAAGGCATTTCAGCCCCAAATCGATACTCTCACCAACACTCGGTGTCACCTGCAGTGCTCTCGGCTGCAGGAGAGGCCATCCTAGAGACAGGTAAGGAGGGGCGGCTGTATGAACAACCAGTCCCTCGCCAGAACACAGAGACAGCTTCCCATAACTCCCTGGGTGTTCAGCTTTGTAAGATTTTGGAATTCTTCATAATCATGCGCACATGAGCGTCGAGCTATGTGGCTGCTGCTCTCCCTGTCCACAGCACGACTGTATCTGCTGTGTCACACAACAAGCCAAACATTTCCTTTATCGTTGACGGTGATTTTAAAGCAGTTCATAATTAAATATGAGCACTTTGTACAAGGACAATTACACTTTACAAAAAACCAAAATCATACAACAAAAATTGCTGGAGTCTGATTTACAACATGAATTACGGTTTGAAATCACGTTTACATAAGTCTCAAATTTACAATTAAAAAAAAAAAATCCGTTCTGGGCCAGCTGTTCCACCGCTCCAGCTCTCTGGTGTAGTCCCCCAGCCACGTCGTACCCTTCTTCCTTAAAGTTGATGATGGCTGTTCAAAGGTTCGGCCAAGTTGAGCTGCACTCTCCTTTGGCGGCGAAGGCGACCCATGGCCATGAGCGGCTTCACCACATGTCATCAGTTGACGTGGAGTCCTTCACAGGGGAGAACAAACAAACAGGGCATTAGATGCAAGAAACTCAGATGTACCACTCCCTGGAGAGTGCAGAAAGACAAGGTTTTTATAAGATACCAATTATAGAATTTAGCTGGCTTCAAAAATATGTATGTCTACATATGAAATACTAATATTTAATCTGCTTAGTTAAAAAATAAGAAATCTTTGGCTTGGCCCCATCGACCAAAAATTTCCATAAGCAAACAAATCCTTTGGTTTAAAAAAATATTTGAATGATTTTACTACAAGTATGAACAAATTTATCATTAAACCAACAAAATTACTAAAAAGCTTTGCCTAACTTATCTTAAACCTCCACTTTCATTAAGCTCATTGCATTGTGGGAGTGGAGAGGTTAAGAGAGCTCCATATGCAGCACACAACCCGGAACAGCCGCACTCAGACTCTGAGCTAACAGCTGCAAGGGACTTCTCTAGCGTCTTAGTGTGGGTTCGGCCTCACGACTGCGGCAAAGATATCTGCATGCATAAAAACGCTTCACGATGAACATTCTGAATTCGCTGATGCTCCTTGTAAAACTCAGAATAATCCAAGATTCTGTGGAAAGAGATCCCTAACTTAATAAAAAAGGGAAGGCAGGTCTTCTGAAGTTGATTGCAGAGGCGGCCGGCCGAGCCCAGAGCAGCAGCACTGACCCACTCAGCTGTGTGCTAGAGCAGACCCCAGGGAGGACAGGAGAGCAGAGGCGCGAACACTACTCACAGTGTCATCGTTTTTGTAAGGGTTCAGTCTATTGTAAACGGCTTCAATTACATTCCGCCTAAATGTTAGAAAATGCAGAAAGTTAATCTTTCAGAAAGTAAATCACAGCTAATAACCCCAGTCCAGTGTTCACTAAAACTTTAAAAAATAATCTTACACTTCAAATACATTTGGTTCTAGTTCCTGCCGTCAACACCAAGTCTGTCTTTAAGACATCTATGTCCCGATGCTAAAGCAGAGGCACGGTCTCTCTAACATGAAATACTCTAACACTCCACTGATCTAAATAACACTGGAGCAAAAGTCACAGTTTATTTTAGTTAGTTAACAAACCAACTGGTGATTTTTTTCTTTTCAGCTCATTTACTGTGTGCACATACATATGGAGGTCATAGGACAGCGGGCAGGAGTCTCTTCTCTATTTCCACTATATGGGTTCTGGGGATCAAAGGCAGTCACCAGGCTGGGGAGCAGTAGCCTTTACAAAATTAAAACAAAAGCAGCCTCCCAAGAAATGTACAAGCACAGACCTTGGTTGGGACCCCAGTGCCCACACAGTGGCCTGCATCTGTGACTTTAGTACTGGAAGAAAGTCAAGAACAGGTGGATCCCTGGAGTTTACTGGCCAGCTAGCTAGTGAGTTCTGGGTATAGTGAGGATAATCTCAAAGACAGGGTGGAGAGCAACAGAGGAAGATGTCGCCTGTCTTCTGCCTTATGTAACCTCTGGCCTCCAAGAACATGCACTCACATGTACACACATGCAAGCACACACACATATACACATATACACATGTGCAGACTAAAAAGTCTATATGGTCCTACTTCTATTTGAGCTGACTTAAATGGCTACAAGTGAGCAGCAGCAGTACCAATCCGCAGACATACTAATTAAGAATAGTTTCCTTATTCATACTTGGCATCATAGTTTCCAAGTAGAAGCAACGTTAACCTGTCAAAGTACAACAATCCCGCATACATCTTGTCTTTGCTTCTCTTAACATTCCTTCAAACAACTTCCATAAAAACTAGAACGTTGAATACTTCCGTGACAAGTATAAGGATTAGTTTTTGAATATTTTGTTTTAAAGTCTGGCCGTGTGTTGGTACATGCCTAATCCCAGCACTGAACAGCTGAGCAAGGTTACTTGAGTTAGGAAATCTTGAGCTATACAAGGAGATCACATCCGCCCATCTCCTTCAAAGAAAAAAGGTGAAAAAAGGTGATGTGGAAGTTCCCTCCCTTCTGTGTGCCGTGATTACCATTAATGAATAAAGAAACTGCCTTGGCCTGTTGATAGGGCAGAACTTAGGCAGGCAGGGAAGACAGAACTAAATGCTGAAAGGAAGAAGACAGAGTCAGAGAGACGCCATGGATCTGCCACCACAGTAAGACCTGCTGAATCTTTGCTGGCAAGCCACTGCCATGTGGCGATATACAGATTAATAATAGAAATGGGTTAAATTAATGTGTAAGAGTTAGCCAATAAGAAGCTAGAGCTAATGTGCCAAGCAGTGATTTAATTAATACAGTTTTTATGTGGCTATTTCGTGCGGCCAGGATGAACAAGGGACCCTCCCCCTTCTACAAAAAAGGGAGGTGTGGGGGAACACCTCTTTAATCCTCAATGGCAGAGAACTTATCTAGCAAGTGTGAGACGTTGAGTTTATTCTTCAGTATCACAAACCATACACACACACACACACCTGTGTCTGTCTGTAATGCAACGGTGCTTTTACAGTTACAGCCTTCACACTTCTAAAACTGATGGGAAGCAATTTTATAGACAGTCATATCAAAGATGGTGATGTGAAAGTTTTCAAAAACTACAAGTTTCAACAGGAACTTTTAGAATCCCTGGTGAAATGTCCACAAAGAATAAAGATAGCAGTATGTGCAAACTACAGAAAATCAGAGAAACAGCCACAATATCCATCTGTACGCCAAGCATTGAATTAAAACAAGACAAAATGAAACACTTGAAGCCTGGCAGTGGTGATGCACGCCTTTAATCCAGTACTAGGAATGCAGAGGCAAGTGGATCTCTGTGAGTTCAAGGCTGGCCTGCTTTACACAGTTCCAGGACAGCCAGGGCTACACAGGGAAACGCTGTTGCAACAAACAAACAAACACCCAAATAACAACAACAAACCACCTGAATTGTACAATGTACACTGTTAACTATAGATATAAGCTTAATATCTAACACAACCTAGTATGGTTCTATAAAACAATAGAAAAGGAAAAACAAATAAAGGAAAAATGTGTCTACTCTTTCTGACACCAAACACCAATCAGCAATAAACAAGTAAACACTGCCCAGACTGAAGAGTCTTTGGAGTGTTAGGTCATACAAGGAGTGACGACAGAAACCACTACTACAGCCACTTACCCTTCTGCAGCCGTGCTATTTCATTATCTCATTTATTCCTTGTGGAAATCAGTGTCACACAAGCTTCCACTAAGGATAATTCTTAGTACAATTATAAACAGTGACAATTAAGTACTGATCCCAATCAAAGACCACATTTCCTAACAGTGAAGGCACAGCATGGACCTTCGGAGTAAAGGCACAGTTCCTACAGACAAAGGCTGAACATACAGAACATACTCACTTGCTTGCCAGTTCACCCCCTGGTGGGAGGCTGGGGATGTTCTCGCTGGCTAGCGTGCGCATCACGTGGACTAAGTCAGGGACTCCTTCCCCCTGCTTCTTTATGATTTCTGGGAATCAGAAGTACCTTTTTTGTAAGTGTTATCAAAACTCAATTTTAAACACTGAAGCAAAGACACCTTAGGTTATCACAGCCAAATTACTTGTCCTACACCTGAGACTTTCTAAACTACTTTGAAAATAATCACTCATCTTCAAAAATGTAAGGCCAGGGAATGCAGAAAAAGACACAAAACATCAACTTCAATGAATGAAAACAAGATAAATATGTGAAAATAAAAAGATAGTTTGTGTTAACTTGATGTGTTACACAATCAAGGTGGGTATAAATGACTTCCTTTAAGATGTTAACTAGTTACTGTTAAGGAAATCAACTTCTGTCCTTACACAGGACACGGACATTTTATATAAAACACATTGCACATAAAAATAAATAAATAAAAACTCAAGATTTGAAAAGGCACCTTTAAGTATAAGGCAATTTATTAAAGATATACTAGTTCCTAAATTTTTAATCTATATTTTTATAGTGGCAATATGACTTAAGTAGCGTAAACAAATGAACGATATAGTTGAACATCACTCTGCATATCAATTTTCCCTTTAGGAAATGACATAAACACAGACCACCCCCCTCATTTGTTACTTAAGCAAGACTTTAAATGAAAGGATCTAAATTTCATGACAAAACAATTAAGAGCAGAAAGAAAGACTGAGTAACTGTACAGCTGCACTTACAATGATTAGTTTCACGTCAGACCCCCCCGAGGGCACAGAGAGGGCACAGAGAGGGCACAGAGAGGGCACAGAGAGGGATCTGCAGTGCTATCAGGCAGAGGTTGTAATTCTTATCAGAGACCATGTGAGCTGTGAACAAAGACCCTCACCCCATCTCTAAACTAAGTACAAGGCCTCATTTGGAGACTAAGCAGTTACTCTCAGTGCAAATCCCAGCCCAAGGCACCACAACATTTTTGCTTCTCAATATTTATAATAAGGAATGGTATTTCCTAGGCCACCAGAGCAAGAAATTATTCTATTTCTCCATTTGTAAATCCCTCTGAAAATAACACAAAAACTTCATTCTCTATCAAGCCTCAAAATGTTTCTTCACCATTAAAGGCACATGTAAAGACAGACATCGCTTCTCATGAAATCTCTTTAAATGGTTCAAAATTATCCTCCTAAAATAAAGGCCAAACTTTGCATGTATTATATTATGCCTTCTTTTCCTTAAAAAAAAAATGAACAAAATAAAGCAGTCTTAAATCTGAACAAAAAGCAAGGATCTCAGATTTGGTTTGCCAAGCTCCTTTATTGTAAAGTCTTTAACATTTTGGCATATTGATTTTCTACATGGTGCTAGTGCTGAAGATCTACTATACAAAAATAAAGGGATTTGATGCTTGCCTATGCTACACAAGTTCACAATCTAGAAGGGTAACACACAACATAGTGTCTACTAAGCCAATACAATCATTTGGTTTGAGCTCTGGATACAGGAGAAATGAACACTGATAAATTTAACCAATAATGGTTTCGGTTCTAAGTTAAAAAAAAAAAACCCGCTATATTTGATGTAGCTTACATCTTCATTAGAATATGTTATGATATTTTAATTGTTAAGAATACAGGAAAGCAAATTCTTTTAAGAATAATAAAGACTTTAGAAACAATTAGAATCTCTTATTTGATGTGGGACAGTTATTTAAACTGAACACTTACACTACCCCGCTTCCTTCAGCTTCTAGAAAAGTTCTGGATGTCAAGAAAAATTCCTGTAATTGTTCTTGGACTATACATTTTAATTAGACTGCAAAAACTCGGTGCTTCCATAAAGAATATAAATGTCAAGAATTCTGTTTCATAAACAGAGACAAACACACCCTGATCCCCCTCTTTTCTCAAGAAAGCTTAAGGAATTTTCAGTTTCCTCCACATTAGCAACTTTTCAGGGAGTCAGGCCAGTAGCAGACGAGAGAGCCACACACAGGTGAGTATAATCTTAAACTGCCTAAGGACCGCAGTGCAACAGCCTCCTCATCACCTCCCCTCAGTACAGGTGACACAGTGGAAGAAGGGAGCGTCTGAGAGCTTTGTCCTTTCGATGTTGTAGACACAGAAGCCAAAAATGTTGAAATCAAATGAGGCTTAGTAGGTCACAGCAATTTAGTCAAGGCATGTATTTAAACAAGGAGAAAGGTACTGGTGTCTGTGTTAGAAGCTGCGCACTTTTTCACTTAGATATACATCTTTTACAGTGCAAAGATACATTCCTTCTGTGCTTTTAAGTAGCAGCAACTTTAACACGACTTTCTTTCTAGTTGCATCTCATCAGTTCTAAAAATACCATACTTAATTTATGACAATTACCTCCAATTGCACGGTGTAACAGTTGAACATAGTACAATATTGACTATTAATGTAAACTCTCTGCCCAGGTGGCAACTGCCACTTGATAGCATGAAATATAAAACTTATTATAATAAAATTATATGCAGTGACTATTTTATAACTCCACCAAAAACTTACTTTAAAATAAGCACACTGAAGAGAAAAATAATAATTCATTCCTAAAACTGGATCCTATTTCATAGTAAAAATACTAAGTTACTTATTATTTCTTTATACCAATAAAAAGTATCCCCAGGCTAAGGTGCCAAAACAGCAACATCAACTTACCCCGTACACATCTTTTTGGTTTCATAATTTTCTACCAAACAGCAATTTAGACCAAACACTCTGTAACATTCTAAGTATTTTTAGAGTATTTTAGAATAACAATTGAAATAACTTAAGATATGAAAAATTACAAGACCCTTGAAAATAGTAAGGAAAAAATGCATTGACTAGTATATTCAATGAATGAAATACTAAACAATACAAACAGATGTTACCATCAGGGGAGGGAGGGTAGTAACAAAACCTCAAATCTCTAGGTACACTAACAACCCAAATCAAGCACAACTCTAATAGACGGATTACAAATGATATTAAGCAATAAAAAGAGAAAATAAAATTAAGATGCACACTAATTTTAATAATGAAGACACAATGGGATGCAATAGTATGGTAGGTCGATGCTTGCATGCCAATTATGGTATCAGGAGAGCAAAGTGCACTTTTTACCCTGAAGTGTTTGTTTATAGGGCATGCATAATCTACGTGGTTACTGTATCTGTCCACACAGTGAACCTAATGTCTGGGGAGACAATGTTTACGCTTATGCGTAGTGAGCAGCTTCAAAGATCATGTAAGGGTTGGGGTGGGATTCAGAGGGAAATACTTGCTCACTGTGCAAGAAATCTTAGATTTGGTCCCCAGTTCTACAACCAACCAACCAACCAACCTACCCACCCCACCAACAAAAGATAAATTTCTTCCAATATTTAAAAGCATCACATTTTTTGGAGGTACAAATGCTTTCCATTTGTTATAAATAAACTGCAGAAATCTAAGAACCATACTCCTACAGTTCCAAACCACTTTCCTTGATCTCATTTGAGAGCTGATTCCTACCCGGTCTGAGTTGTAAGGTGAAAGAGCTCATGGCTTAGGAGGGAAGCCGTCAAATACCTGAAAAGTAAGTGTGGAAAGCTGCGGGATGTGACAGTTGTTAGCAACCATCTGACCTTCCAAGTTATTAAAAACAAAACAAAACAAACAAACAAAAAAACCAAACCACCCAGCAAACAAACATCCAAACACAGGTCATACACAAACTATTCCGGAGATTTGAAGTTAGCTCACATGGCTTTCTCACAGGAAGATGAAATACTCAAATGCAGGACAAACTGTTCTCCGGGCATGAAACTGCTCACGCCAGTGAGGTCAGCAAGAATTTTAGAGCCACACTTCAACCATTCAGAATGGAAGTTCCTAACCAGAAAACTCAAGTTCGCATGAGGCTGTACTAGTTATCTCTAATCTGACAGGGTGCCTTGGGCTTACTACGAAATGTCCTTTCCACTTTTATACGGTAAGTACTAGATGTTAAAGGCATGTAAAGAACTAAAAACTCTAGAGTGTTAAACTTTCTGTTGTAGGTTTTGTTTTTTAAAGAAAGCTACTTATTTTTTGTTAAATGATCCACCTTCTACTCTGCATTCCAGGTACTTGTCCAGCTCTGCCTCCTTCTTCACGGCTTCTGCTGAGACTTTAGGCGCATTGGGAAAACAGATCAGAATCACACTCATGTTGTCTCGACTTCCCTGGAAAGAGAAAGGGCAAGAAAATATTTGGTTTTCTTTCTACTTTTTAAAACCTTGAGAATCTTTATACCTATTATAGAATGCCAATTATAACTATATCGTGTCTATAAAAATGTTATTTTTAGCCTGGCAGCAGTGGCGCACGCCTTTAATCCCAGCACTCAGGAGGCAGAGGCAGGTGGATCTCTGTGAGTTCAAGGCCAGCCTGGTCTACAAGAACTAGTTCTAGGGCAGGCTCCAAAGCTACAGAGAAACCCTGTCTCAAAAAACCAAATCAAACCAAACCAAACCAAACCAAAAAGTTACTTTTAAGGAGAAAAAAAAGCAAACATGTTGGTGGGGGACAGTTGCCTCCACATAATATATTAACTATTATAAGCAGCAATCATTAATTCTGTGAGAATTATTGACAAAGAGCCTGTAAAATAAAAATTTCCCTAAATCGTCTCTGGTGGCCGCTTTGCTTGAAGTCACCTGCCATGTCAGTATCACGCAGCTACACACGCCATATAATGTGGCGGAGCTTGTCAGTACTAGTCTTTACTGTCCCTGTCACAAACTTACACTTTAGTCACAACGCACTGTGGGGTCAATGAATTTGTTTCTGCAGTAGAAATAGGAAAACTAGAAAAAGTTTATACTTTTGTAATACATATTATGCATTACTTATATAATAAAAGTACTGATTTAACTTAGGAAGTACATTCAAATTATTCAAACTGTTGTTAAATAGAACACTTGAATTGATAGCCTTCCCACATTTTCCTTACTTTTAGTATTTTATTCAGCTATATGGAAACATTGGTCTTATACACGAATATCTCAAACCATTTATATCGAAGATAGACTGACAGCACACCATCACTGTTGCCCTTGACAGACACACGAGCTGGAAGGTATACAAATTCTACTTCTAACAGAATTAGGATTTTACACTGAGCTGAATGTGTGGATACATAAATGTTTGCTTTCAAATAGTCAAGTCAGCAAGCACCACTGACAACACAGCGGTGCGGCACAAGCACCACTGACAAACACAGCAGTGTGGCACAAGCACCACTGACAAACACAGCAGTGTGGCACAAGCACCACTGGTGCCAGGCCACAGACCCAGCTTTTCAAGGGTGCTGCGACTAAAGCTGTGTGATGTAGAAACGAGTTCTGAGCTCTCCAGCACGAGTCAACTAGGAATTACCTATGTGACTAGAGTGTACACAAGCACACACGCAGGCAGGCATGTATGCACATGTAAATCCTTAAGAGTCCTAGAAGTTACATATTATCTATATTTTATAGCAGAGACTGAAGAGTACAAAAGCAATAGAGGTAAGCCTTGATTCCAGGCCTGTTTGACTCTTAAGTTCACAGAACCTTCTCTGTCTTCAGCTTCCTTATCTGTAAAATAAAGGGGCTCAGCTAGTTATAAATGTACACGAGCCTATTTAATCCTCCTCCCAACAGCCCCACTAGACAGGGCAATCTCTGTTCTTTCAGGAAACAAGAGCTTACCTCAAGTCACAGGGTCTCACACGAGGTCCTTCTGAGCCCACAACCAAGGCTATTTGCATTGCTCCATACCCAGCACTCACTGAACTCTGCTGTCCTGATGCTACAGAACTCATGTTCAAGTGGTGGAAACACTGAACTAGCGTCCTAAAGCACATCCAGAACTTACAGAGAGACACAGAGCTCCAGACCGCCCCACCCTTTCTCATGCACTCAGATAGAATTTTTCTCTCTAATTCTTCTCTAGTACCAAAAGCTTGAGTACCCATGGTTAAAGAGCAAGCATTTAGATTCAGCTCTTGCACAGATGGTAACTGGCTAATTTCTAAAGTATCCCTATATTTTCTCAGTTGGTAGAGTATCCTGTAATTGTGCCAAAAATTTATTTTTGATATCTACAGGCTCCACAATAATTAAAAGGAACAGTAATTAACGGCATGAAGTTGACTGAAGAGAAAAAGCCTAGCTACCTTATACAAGCAGGTGTCGACGACTTCATTGCAAACCTTCTCAAGGTCGTCAGTGACTTCAAGTCTGGATCTCACAAAGTCACAGAGCTCTTCGTTTCCCATGACGTCCCAGATGCCATCACATGCAAGAATAATGAACTGATCATCCTCTTCAGACCTTTCAATATCATGGACTTCCGGCTCTGGTGAGACAAGCTGCTCTGTGGGACCTTTTCCATGGACACATTTGTAATCGAAATCCCCAAGGGCCCTTGACACAGCCAGAGAACCGTTAACACGCTGAATCATCACAGAGCCCCCTGCATTCTGAATTCGTTCTTTTTCCAGCGGATTACTTGGTTTGTGGTCTTGTGTGAAGAAGTGAACTTTCCTGTTCCTACAAAGCAAACCTCTCGAGTCTCCACAGTTAATGAAATAGGTGTGCTGGGGAGAAATTAAGACCCCCACAGCTGTTGACCCACTTCTATCTGCACCATGTTTCTTCTCTGACATAACTCTCATGTGTTCATCGATCTCCAGAAAACCTGTTCTGATTCCATTCTTTACATTTTCCACAGATGGCGCTCCTGCAGAGCCTTTAAAATCCTGGTTATTGGTGATGTGATCTAACAGATGCTCACAGCAGTATTTGGCAACCTGAGAACCAGCATGCCCATCATATACAGCAAAGAATGACCATGTCTCAAGTCCACTTGGCAAGCCGATCACAGCTGTATGTGCGTCCTCCATTTCAACACGCCAGCCTTGCATGCTGCTTAGGCCATATCGCAACCCATTCCCCTGCCCCTGGGCATTATGCTTTTCCATCTTTGGCTTGTCTAAAAATGCTCCCATTATGACTTGATCCTCTAGGTCTGTAAAGGAAGAGAAATAAGAAAGTCAGTTAACTGTCTTTGAAACAAAACACACACCCAACAGTCTTTTTGAAGCACCTCTGAGATACAGGAAATTGTAAAAACTCATAGGGCTATCGCCATAAACATTGTGTTACTGACCTGGAATGTGCCGTTAATAAGAAAGGGAGAGGCTGATCGAATAGAGTTCACTTAGACAAGCAGCAGAGGGAACTAAGTCACCAGGAAAAGAAGAGTTTGTCTGCCTCTCTCTGATACCAAGGAGACCTAGCAGTGACCATTAACTTACACGAACCAGGCAAGGTTCCAGGGTGCACTCATCATATGTAACCTTGAAATTCTGTTGTGTGCCAATAAAAAGGCTAATTCATAAGACATATGAGTATCTCCTACTTCAGAAACCTTAGCTGAGTACTAAGAAGTTTTGAGAGTTTGATTGCAAGCTATTTCATTTTGTTTCCATAACAAGAAACCTCAGTAAATTACTCACACTGGTCCAAATTTTCAGTGCCTTTCTTTAAGTGCAGGCCATACTCCTTAGCTTGAATCCCCTACCTCATCTCTTTACTAACAGAAAACAAAAACAAAAAAAACACCTGTATCTATCATTTAAAGTCTAGCTCAGATTCCACTCCCTTCATCAGACTTTGCAGTCTTTGACAAATCCAGTCAGTTACTAAAGCGGTCAGCTTCAATTTTCAAGTAATAATGTGCTTTGATGACAAATTTTATTATATGAAAAATTTAACAGAATTAATCTGATAATTAAGCTATAGCAATAATAAGTATCATTATTATATGCTTTATGACCACCAGGTATAAATCATAAAAGATTCGAAGGGCCTAGTTTGGCTCATGTAATCCTTTGCAAACACTTAACAGCCAGTTCCCTGATTTGGAAAGGACTCACAAAGGCAGACACAGCGGGTCAAGACGTAGGCTAGCTCTTGATCAAGCAACATTTTAATAATGCAGTCCAAATAATCAAATGAATTATAAACTAAAGAAAATCTTAAAGTAAACTAGAATACTAAAGAGATAAAGGAGGTAGAGGAGATGTATGTAATAAAGAAAGGACAGTGTCCAGGTGACGTTCTGAAACTAGGGGACTAAAGATACCAGCAATGATAAACTCAAGAGAGAAATAGTATGGAAACTCCTTGGGAAAGAAATAAAGGATTCTGTTTCGTAGACATTCCCTCTCCACTACTTCCTTTTTCCTTTTGACCAAATGATGCACAGGGAGAGAAAGCTCAAAACTCCTCCAAGTTCTCTGGCTTCCACTACTTCCACTATGTGCAGATATGTGTGCACATGCACACATTCTCTCTCTCTCTCTCTCTCTCTCTCTCTCTCTCTCTCTCTCTTTCTCTCTGTAAAAACTCAAAGGATTACAGTTTTAAAATTCCTATGTGATTTTATAAGGCATACCAAAGTTGCAGACCATAGGGTAAAAAAAACTCAGATGAACTACACAAAAAGTGTAAAAGATGAGGTAAAGCCTAGAATCCCAGTGGAGGCAGGTGTCTCTATGAGAAGCATTCCAGGGCAACCATGACGACATCATAGAGACACTCTGCCTCACTCTCCATCACACCCTCCAACGGCGGGGAGGGATGGGAAAGGACGCCAACGGGTAAGAGTCAAAGAGAAAAACAGCTCAAAATATGATTACTAGAAACAACTATTTGAAGGTGGGAGTAAAATTCAAATTGAAGTTTATTTCATAGACAAGCCAAAAGAAAGATCATGAACCACAGACTCCTCTAAGACTTTCCCAATGGAACCAAGCATTGAAGAATAAAAGTTAAGAATTTAGACCTGACTGGCTCTATCTTTTTGTAACAGTGTGACCATAGCAAGCATGCTAGTTTTTCTGAACTGCTTTCTTCATCTGTGTAATAAGGTGCTAATCCCCCGCACCCCAGAGACAGGGTTTCTCTGTGTGACAAGAGCTTAGGCTGTCCTGGAACTCACTTTGTAGACCAGGCTGACCTTGAACTCACAGAGAGCTGACTGCCTTTACCTCCTGAATGCTGAGATTAAAAGTGTGCACCACCACCACCCAGCTAAACTTTTTTTTTTTTTTAAGACAGCTGGGTATGGTGTTTCATGCCTTTAATCCCAGCACTTTTAATCTCAGGCAAAGGCAGGGATCTCTGAGTCTGAGGCCTGCCTGATCTATACAGAGTAAGTTCCAGGACAGCCAGGGCTGCACAGAGAAATCCTGTCTCAAAAAACATAGAAAAACAAAAACAAAAACATCAAAAGACAGGGTCTCACTGTATAGCTCTGGCTGGCCTGAGAATAACAGAAATCCACCTGCCTCAGCTTCTGAAGTGCTGAGATTAAAGGTGTGTACCATCATGCCTGGCATAGGTCCTAATCTTATGGGATTCTTACATAGAATAAATGTATAATGCACTTGCAGCATGTCTAGTACACTATACACACTTAATATAGTAAAATTGTTTATTATTAAGCAATGTTTATATAGTATTATTTTTCTACCAGTGCAAGGGAGTCAGTTATAATGATGTTTTTCTCCTAGACACCAGCTTTGTCCATCCTCTAGTAAAAAAACTGTACCTAATATAGTTTTGGGAGTGATAGGGATTAAACTCAAAACCTCACTCATGCTAGTCTACTAATGAGCTACACATTTATCCTTTGTGTAATATACTTTAAAACATACTTTAAACACATTATTAGTAAATGGGGGAGGCGATTAAGAAAGTCACTTCCTGCCCGCCTAACATACCAGAAGCAGGGAGAATGTGAGAAAAACAGGAACTCCAGTGACTGTACTAACAGCAAAAGCTGGAAGATGGACTACACGACAGAACAGCGAGCCTATGACCATTCCAGAGCAGTGTGCTAGCAAGGGCAGGCAATGCCCAGGTGATGGAGTCACCTCTGTGGTCGTGTCTGACCTGCATCTTACAGGGCTGGAGTAAGGCAGCAAAGGTAAGGTTTCTGCTCCACATGTCCACTCGCATTAACAGGCTCAAGCACGCCACGATTCTAACTGTAGTCGATTAAAGAACCTGACATACAGCATTTTAAAGAAACTGTCCTATCTACCAAGAAAATGTGTAGTGACCATTACTAAGAGCTATAAATGGCAAACACTGGAAACAACTTACTTATTAGAAGGTACAGTAGATAGCATTTAACAATAGACACTTAATTCTATCATTTTTTCCCAACAAAAGGCAGTACCTTGAGTAATGTAGCAAAGCAATTCTGCATAATATACAATACAGTACATATAACGAGGGCAGTAGCCAGCTTAAGGACAGTGGCTGCAAACTCCATGAGAACAGGGACTTTCACTGGTGTGTCCCCAGCACTCAGAGCCCAACAGCAGAAACTCAATAGCATACAATACTACTGGTTTCTCTCTGGAAAGAAAAAGAGACAGCATGGCTTCAGGAAGAAGTCCAACATGGGAGTTTGGCTGCATTAAAGGGACAAAGGGACTTGAGAACACTGCTTCCTCTAAAGTGTACTTCTCTATCGAGAAGTCCAAAGAAAACCGAAACAAGACATGTTTTAAAAGCACATGACATTCTCTTAAGACCTAGAGCCCACACCCTCACCTCTCAACAACTAGAGAAGGTATTAGTGAATGATTACTGGCCTAGAAGTAACATATCACAGAGACTGGCTGCACGTGGAGGAGGGGTACCAGCCAAGCACTATTCAGAAGTTTTATGAATTTATTAATGTTTTTAAATCATTATGCAATATTATATAGGCATTATTATACCCCTACCTTACCAATGAAGAAACTGAGCCATTAAGTTACCTACTAAAGGCCAACAGCAAGTTGCCTCATCTGGGAATGAACTGCCTTTGCTAGGTTGACTAGCCAGTTATGTGTGAGTTGTGATTAAGACACCTAGATGATTAACAAATCTAGATAGATGCCTATCTAGATTAGCATCCCTCAATTTCTTCACTGTGCAGTGGACATACCAATATTGACCTTCTGAATGATACTTCAATGCAGTCAGACAGTCTGGTAAGAATGACGGCACCGAGCAAAGGAACACTATTCAATCACTATTACATTCCTACAAACAGCAAGTCTAGATTTTCACTTTGCATAACAGAAACCTTACTCTCCCCTTTAGAAACAAGTACAAAACTTATTTACCAGATATGCATATGAAATTACCAAATAATTAATTCCTCAAAACTAAAGTATGCAATTTATGAATCTTATCTACTTAAGAGTTTGAATAATTTATAAGTGAAGTAGCCAAATGTAAACTACATAAAAAATATGATGCTGATTATATAACTATGTCAGGAAGTCTTTACTAACATAAATATTGTTTACATAGGCCTCTTGTATACATGGATGACTACAAAGTGTTTTATTTAGTACAATTATTAAATGAACAAGTGTGTGTGTTTGGGAATGAAAGTTTAACTCAGTTTCTGAGTTTTATATCTACTTGAATATATACTGCATCTCATCACAAATATTAGCAACTGATCTGAATTTCAAGAGTGCTGTGGTAAACATTTTGAGTTCTTTAAAATGAAACCAACATCTAAACTGAGAAATCCACTCATCAAAGGTCAACCATTGCCTGCTCTTTCCTGTAATGCCCAGGACCTGGTGTATGATACAGTCGATAGCAAAACTACATCAGCAACCCCTCAGCAGCTTGTGCCTTTCATGAAGCAAAGCTAATGTAATAATCTAGTATCAAGAGGTTTAATTCACTAAGAGTCACACTGAGTGGTAGTTTTAACAAGTTTTACATATTTTACGGTTGACCTTCTCTGAAAACAGCCAAACATGGAAACAACTTGACTGCTCCTCAAAAGGCATAAGAATAAATAAGGGGATACTATTTATACTATACTATACTGTACTTTACTGTACTACACTATACTACACTATACTATACTATGGTGTAGGAGGTCCTTCTGTTTATGTGCTGCTTTCACTGGTTAATCAATAAAGAAACTGCTTGGCCTGATAG